GGTTCTTCATCTCTTATTGAAGTTCTCAAGTGAGATGATTCCCCAGGAGAGACTGAAATGAGAGGGTGGCACTCGAGAGTCATCTGAAATTATAATTAAATTAAATTGTACTTGAGCCTGCTGTAAAACTCGTCCGAGAAATTTAATAAAATCAGTTTGATGTACAAAAACGCTCCACCAACGGAGCCCATTTAACATTGCATATTAAATGATTCCTGCTTATGAATTTCCCTTAGACTCCATCACATCTTTTGGGGGTCATTTTCCACTGGGGAGAGCAGCGAAACTTCTCGTGTCACCCGCCATTTATTATTAATCTAGAGATTTGCGAGCGAAAAAGGGGTTCCAAAATGCTCAAGAGCTTGTTCAACCCTCGTAAAAATCATTACAAATTCCTCACTTGCCAGTCATTTTCTGTGCACAGTCAAATTGCTATCAGTTTATCCAGAGGATCATCGTCGAAACTCTGCAGAGACAACCTTCAGAGGTCATCATCTTGGGGATGTAAAATTGAAAAGAAAATATTCTTCGTCAACCACCGAGCATAACCTCAACTTGTGTGAACAATTCAAGCCTAATGATGGGAAATTTCATGTCAACACACACGGACGGAGTGAAAAGAGGTGAAAAGGATGATGAAGGAGTGGTGCGAAATTTATTATGTATAACACGCAATTGAATAGCATTGATAGAGGCAGAAGTTTGTTCCGCAGCATTTACCAAATTGCCCGTGTCCATTATCGGAGTTTCACCTTGTGCCATGTGTGGTGAAACTATCTTACCATGGATGGCAATATAATGCTCTCCCTTCTCGGGGGAAATATTGACTCAAGTCTTGGGCCGCCCCATCTCTTCTAAGCACGGCCCGGATCGAAAAACACTCACACAGAGTGCGCGCCCAAAACTTGGGGATTTAAAATTCAGCAAGAGTTCCTTACATAACACAAAACCACCCTCGTGGAAACCATGAGCGACACACCGCGCGTCCCGACATAAGGCCGGAATATTTTACACATACTACATCATAAAAATGAAGTATCTCGATTCATTGGTCGGGTGTGAGCTTCCCTAATGGAGCGGCCTAGCGCGTGTGTTTCACCTAAAAAAAATTCTACTCGTCTCGCACAATTGCTGGGGAGTAACATTATCCGGAAGTTCATATTGAATAAGAGGAGACCATTTCTTTGGTGTAATTTGACGAAATACACCTCGTGCAGCCGCACACATTGAATTTTCAATGGGGAAACTCGAGCAGATCCCATTATTGGCAACATTTGGTATGAATATTGGTTAGTCTGTCACTCTGGCATCCTCGGGAGTGGCAGCAATAGGACTACAAATTGAATAAAGTTCCTGCAAATTAGCACTGTGCACAGTGTCAGCGCTATGGTCACTCTGCAGTGCTTTGTCTATCGAGGCGAACGCGCTGCAGCATGCGCGCCAGCGGCCAACCGGGTATATTTCACACTCCGTCAAACAAATCACTTAAATCTCCGGCCCATCTCTAGAGCCATAAAAACCTAATATGCAAATTCTTATGATTTTATTTTTCTGCCAAAATGAAAAATAAACAGCAAATTTCTCTACGCACTCCATCATATTTATCCACCAGATAGTGGGTGAATATTTTGTGTCTATTCACTGCGACATTGGCCATGTGACACCAGTAAGATGGGAAAATCGATATACTTTCCGCCGATGGGGTCCACGGGTCGCCATCTCCGATCCATCAAACCAATACTCTCCAGGAGCCACGTCATCGCCTTGTTTTTGATCTTTCTACCGTACATAATGCTCTCCTCCGGCTTTGGTGTGCCAAAAGTGAGAGAAATTCATCATTTAAATGGTTTCATTAAGTGTTTCCGGGGCAAGACTTGAGGAAATCCACCCCCACATTTATTGGCGTGGCCAAAAAGAAAAACACACGAGCAAAAGGGCGCCCCTTTCATGGGTGAAACAAGAAAAGAAATGTGACGCTTTTTGCCAATTTTTCCTTGGGAAATTCAATCAATTGAAAAATTGAGAAATAATGGCATTCACACACGAAGGGTCTCCTCTTTTCATGGGGTTTCACTCCAGCAATTGCGGATGCGACATCGTTTCCTTTGACTCCGCACTTCTCGTTTGGGGAAAATTTACGAGAATTTTGCTCTTTCTTTCACGTCGACATGGTTAGTAGGCAGTTGTTCTTGGTTTTTAATCATTTGTCTAATCTCAGTTCAGTGTGTACTCCATATTGGATTTTTTTCGAGCCAAAAAACGTAAAATGTTACCGATATCAAACAAACAGCAGAACTCCTTCCACCTGGGCAGATCTATGATTTTCCTGAGAAATCCCTGGGCATTCTAATAATCCACTTAAGAATCGATTGCAGTAATGCCGTCAAACTTCGAGCAACTTCTGCAGAAGTTCCTTGGCATGGGATCGGCTCCTTAAGACTAGAGCCACCCAACCGTAGCACGTAGGCAAATGAGCAATGAGTTTGATAGACAGTTTGGAGGGTTGTTTAGGTATGCACTTGAGCCAGTGTGACGCAAATGCCCTGCCACAAACACGTGCTGTGCCTAATAATTTGCAGAAATTACAGATCAGCGATTACAGGCGCATTATAATAATGACGGTGAGGACTCAATATTGTCTGAGCGGCTGTGTGCATATAAGTGGAGGAATTATGACGGCCAAATACACTTCAATTGTTGTACGTGAATGCTCATCAATTTCCAAGCAAAGTGCGCTCATCCTTATCCTCAAAGTCGGAGGGATGATTATCTCCCACCACCCCAGATGCGTCTTCACTGCAGGGCGCGGGGGTCCATTCGGCGTCGCAACACCCCATTCAAATTGCCTCATTTTTCTCGCGCGTGGATTCAATGGCGCAAGGGGAACCCCTTAAGAATCCCAAACACGCATGGCGCCAAATGAGCTCTAAAAGTGGAAACACCTGCTGGTGAAAAATTATCCGAATCAGCTCCAGCTATCACCCAAATTGAGCACCCCGGCTCTGATCCCCAGTTTGGCGTCTGCGACAACACCAAATTTTCCCCATTTCTCGCGCGCACATCTTAAATTAAATTCAAGCAAGAGGAGCTCCAACTTCCATGTCTATTTTTAGCTGTGCCGCCCCAGAAAGAATACCCCATCATTACAGCCCCGAATCCGCGCTGTGTGGACTCTTCCGCCCCAAATCCACTCCAATATGATAACGAGGAGGTGAAGAGGTCACGGGGCTGCGTCTAATTCGGTCTGTGCTCGTCAACCGCAAACGCTGTGGCCGCAGGAGTGAAAATAGAAGCGTGTGTCCTTCCGCCTACTCCCAAATTACAGTTGGGGTGATTTATTTATGGACACACTCACGAGAGTGTTTCTTATCTCATAGCAATACTGCACAAGTCCTCAAACTGCCTTCTGTATAGCTTCCAAAAACTCCTTCACGAACATTCCTTATCACGGATAACTATTATCCAAGTTTTCCACTCTGTTTAATCCAATTATCCCACTTGAATATTTGAATTTTCATGTCATTTCAAGACACTTTCCTACCTTAATGTTCTGCTGCATCAGTGATTCTTCTTCACGAACATTATTATCCAAGTGTCTTCAAACTCTGCCACGAGGAAACAGAAAAACATAATTTGAACGGCTCAAGTGGAGTCTGTTGCATATAATTACGCACAATTAGACTAAGTTGCTCTGCTAGGTATACCCAGTGCTACAGTTTCACCCCCACTGATTTATTTTTTTATTGTTCTGCGCATTTTTTACACGCCGTCAGTTGTCATCGTTATTTCTTCACTCCTTGTCTGACGTCGCCGCGACGGAGGATTCTTAATTAGCGACACGCTGTTGAGTCATAATCTGGGGTACGCCGGAGTCCCAATTATAGTTTGAGGACGCCAGCACAAAAGGCCCGTCAAAAGTTGCGGGCACGCTTGTGAGGGGTGTGATTAATGTGAGGAATTTGATAAGATTGTGTGAGCATGTTTTTTGCTGTCGCCCATGAAGTGTTAAAATTCGTCCGCAAAGCCCAATAAAGGCTCTTTGTTTGCGTGCTGGCGCAGAGAGTATTTATTCACTTCTTCTTTCCACTATGTAAAGAAAAGAATTGCTCCTGATTTTAGGCAAATATCTCCAGTTGTGAATTGGTAAGTTTTGAGTCGTGTCGCGGTTTCTAGGCTGAGTTTTTTTTTTGCTCTTTCCAATACATTTGCTAGGTGTGTCTTGTCTAGATGATTTTACAAATATTTTACATGTTGAAATTGATGAAATAATAAAATGATCAGAATATTGATGTTGACTTTTTGCATAATGCCAACATTTGATTGCCGTACAATGTGATATTGTTTATTTACCCGAAATTGAAATCTTTGTTGATTTTCCGTCCAACCAATCCATGTAATTAAATATTGTGGATTTTTATAGTGCTTTTTATTTGTCCAATCTTTTTTACCGCCATCAGCGTCCCATTATTGAAAAAAATCATAGCTATTTACTGTCTCTGTTTTTTTTATGCTATACTGTCTATGCTGAAATGTGCACACACATTATAATTAAAAGTTTTGGGATATAAAAATAATCTCAATTATACAGTTGTACTCTTCGCCTCCTCATTCAGTTTAACTATTTTCTACACACAGAAAAAATTACACACACTCTCAAAAAATCAGGCAAAAAGATATAATTTTTTTCTTTAATACATATTTTAAGTGTGATATGGATGTTTAATTAAATTTTTGACATAGAAATAAACCAATTATATTTTATAGATCATATAATAACGTTAAACTAATTTGTTCTCTTTTCTTTGTTTGTTTCTTTCCATTGTTGTGCATCGTTTTCCTGGCTGCATCAAATCACACACATAAAAACTCACCGTGTGCCCACCTTTTTGATGATTAAACCTGGTAAATTGACCAAATGTTCTGCACCAAAAATCAACGCGTTGTTGCGCTGTTCACCCTCCAAATCTGACCAAAACAATCCACCTGTATTGCCACAAAAGATCGCAAGCTGTTTGTTGGTATGCTTAGTAAGCAACAGACCGAAGAGGATGTAAGACAGTTGTTCACACCATTCGGAACCATTGAAGAGTGTACAATTTTGCGGGGTCCCGACGGTGCCAGCAAAGGTGAGTCCTACAATCTTATTTACCTACTGTATTGGCTTTTTGAACCCTGACTTTTGTATGTTTAGAAGCTTTGTTACTATTACGAGGGATAAGAGTTGATAATAGGCGGGGCTTCTGAATGGGCGGGCCCGATCGACAAACCAGCTCAAGATGCTAGAAAGACTTCTTCAACAGTTTTCCTCCCATTCACCTCGCATGGGCTTGACTTTAGGCGAAATTCCGCTCAAATACCCGAAAACGCTGTGAATATCAAAGGGAAATGGCAATATTGATAGAATTTCCACCCACATTGCCGCTCATTATTTATCTCTGGGCACAATATGGGGCTTTTTCATTTGGCGCAAATTTTCATATTTCCCCCAAAATTTGCATGCGGTGTGAAAAAGCTGACGGAGGGGCGCAAAATACGTGTAAGTGGTGTAAAAAATTCGCTGGGAAAGGGTCTGTGTGTGCTCATGAAGCTTCAATATAACATTCTTTGATGTTATGTTTCACCCACCCAAAACAGGCTAAAAGCTCTGCGCGACAGCAACTTGCGTGGGTGGCAAAATGCACATACATATGTGTGTGCTGGGAAACAAAAGCCACCCCCCGTGGAAAAAATTATGTGCACTAAATAAAAGATCAAAAGAACCCGAAGTGAATTTCATTTTTCATTAAATTGACTTTTGTGTTGCTGCTTCTGCTTGGCTTTGTGTGTCTCAAAAGTCAATATTCACTCGTGTTTTTTGGGATGGGTGTCGGAAGGTTCACGGGAGCTCTTTCACTATGAGGGGTATTTGAGGAAGACACACGCCAAAGGAGTGACAACATTCTCGTCAACACGCATGAAAAATCACACAATTCTTCCCTTGTTACGAATATTTCCCGGCAAAGCTTCACTCATCATTATTTCATAATTTCTCCCAATGTTCGCTATGAGTCCCGCTGTGAAAATTTAATAATCAATAATGTCTGCAAATTTCAAACAATTCCCAGAGATACATGAAAGGAAATGATATCTTTTTTGGAAGCGAAAAAATGTCTCCAATTTGCTGGTTGGAAGTGATAAAGACGAAAAGACGCACCAAACCATAAACTGCTAGAGATTCTAAATTGTACCACCATTCGTTTTGTAGTAGAAAGACCACAATGTTTCAATTGCTACGGAATATATTCTTGACGTGGATTGCTTAAATTAAGATTATTTTGACACGAATGAAAATATTTTTAATTATTTCTATGAACGGTAAAACTAATTGTATAGTGAAGCCAATTCATATAGAAAAATAATTTTAATATCCTTTCTTTTGAGTCTTTTGGCAACCTTACAGCCGAAATTCGACACTGACAAGCCTTTTGATAGTGTAGATGAGGAATAAAATACGATTGTATAAAGAAAACTACATAAGGTTACACAAATGGAAGCTACACAGTTTTCCGTCAAATACAAATGTATAGAGAACCAATGCTTTCAAAGCTCCGCTGGATCACAAAAGCTGTGTCATGTCGCAATCTCAGTCGGGAGAACATAATACAGAATAGATAATGGGATTATGGATATGACTGCGTGTGACCGAAGCTTTTATTGTCTTTATTTTATTTTACAATATCTCTCCACCATTTCCGAAGCGAACAAGCGGAATCGAGGGTGGGATGTGAAATGTCTTTAATAACCCTGGAGACATGAAAAGTACATTGAAAATTTTTCTTGTAAAAAAAGTGGGTGGGAAGTTGGGGGACTTCCTACATATTTTATTGCTTGCGAACTAGAGAGTGAGGGAAAGTATTTTTTGTGCCCCTGTGATACTTCTATGTCGCATTTTGTGTAAGATATGAGAAGCTTTTATCCATAATTTTGTAATTTACTGGGTATTTTCCATACTATTATCGTTACTATATGACTCCTCGTTGGGGAGGGATTATCGCCCATTGTATGACGAGGCGTAGAGGATAAAAATCCACTCATGGCCAGAGGGTTCTCTCGTGCCACAGTGCGACAAAATTGACAATGCCAATGACAAAGTTCGAGGAGTGTGTGTCATGGTAGAAAAAAAAAACGTCGAGTCTCTCCTAACCCTTTCATCTCTAAGGCACTCCTCATGCGACAACATAATTCATTGGGAGCCCCTCAAAGTCCCGAACTCAGGCTTGTCATTAATCAAGTGATTTACACATTTTTCCAGTCACTTTTCCAACGATCAGAGACCCTCAAACTCTCTTACAAATCCCACTCTTTCATGCCTCTGTTGCGCATACAAATTTCGACTTTGTTGCTCCAGTGACTCGTCAATGGATTCTCGCCTCGTAATGGTCAGACTGACATGCGATGGGGAATCACTTGCCGATTCGGCAGAATTGATTTTCAAGAATTTAACCGCATTTTTCTGCGGCACACTCATATTTCAGCCCTTTCATCATGCAAACCAGGCCCAAACCTGAGCATTTACAAAATTGCCGGCCAACATTTGCAACAGTGGTCGCGCAATCAAACCGCATTGCAAATTATAATTCAATTGAGCCTTCGTGCAGTGAAAATTCATCATGCGTGCCAGCGTAATATGGCGATATTCACACTCTTCGCAGAATTTAGGTCGCTGTATCATCTGGGACAATTGATAGTTGGTCAAGCTGACGACAGGCGCAAATGCTCGATGGTCTGAACGTGAGTGTGACTAGCATGAGCCGAAAAAGCTCCCCCCACTCTCCAAAGCTCACAAAGAAATCAGCAACATTTGAGACTCATTTTAATGAATTTAATTTGTCAGGGTAGCACAAGAACAAACAGCATTTCCCATGAGTAGATGAGGTTTTAAGTACTTTTCTGTGTCAATCAAAAGTTTTCTTCACCACATTTTCTTATTTACTGCATCAGACACGCTGTGAAAACTAAATGAGAGATGCAAGAATATTTTCTTTACAACTTTCTTGATTCACTTGAACAGATCTCAAAATGTAGAAAGGAAGTATTTCGTCGTCTTACTTTAACCCATGATTCCATCAAACTGAAAAAAACTATATATGATTCATCCTCGAGTTAATACTGCAACAAAATACTTCATTTAGCCTTGGCGATAAGAGGAAATGGCCAGCGTGAGTGGCCAAACATGAAATTACGAAATGTGGAAATGCCATAAAAGTCAGTGAGAGAAGTGCGGATTTTATAAAAATTCCCGTCATTCATCAACTTTTCTGTAATTAAGCATCAACAATCTTTCGAACTCTGTGGGGTCTCTTATTTACACTCACTTGAGACAGCAGAATATCTCTCGAGCAATTTCCCGCCTGGCGAAGGTAAAATGTAATTAAATTCTACTTTGAAGTATAGAAGAACTCACTTCTGGCGGAGTTAATAAGATTCCCCTTGCATTCAACTTTCCACCTCAACGTATGCAATTGTGTGCAATTGTGTGCCTGTGAGAGCTTGAAAGCTGCGGAGAAAGCGCATTGCATGGTCAGTGAAGTTGAATGTCTCGTGGAGGCGCGCCACAGAGAACAACACTCCAGATACACTGTGGCATGTGTTCCTGATGCTCCTCGCCCACCATATCAGCCCCCCAGATGCCTCACAGATGTGAGAAACCGCACATGCACCCCATCGAATCCGGGGCGATTGTGTTGCTTTTTGGCTTATGGCTCTCTCTCTCTCTGCCTTTGTCTGCCCACATCGACATTCGCCTCCCCGCTCGCCTGAGACATTGTGTAATTCTCTGGGTAGGATTACAAATCCAACACAGGATTCCCCTTTAATTTGCACACCCGCTCTGCCCCGTCGCGAAGCGCCAATCGATGCCGAAATGCTGGCACAAGTCAACAGCAGAGACACAATTTTGGGGCCTCCAGAGACACACTCATGCTGCCCCAATAAAACCCAGCACTTTTTTACTTTCGAGCCTCAGTGATTGACATATTCAAATTTATTCGGAATCCCTTTGGAGACTTGCCTTCACAAGATTTTCGAGGGTTTTCCCAGAGAATAATGGTGCCATCACAGCAATGTGTGCACCTGCATGGCAATTCCTAAACCTGCTGTTATTTCTACAATTTGAATTAAATTTTAAAGCTAAGGCCACTTTGAACGCTCTTTAAATACACTTTCCTTAAAAAAATGAAACATTACTGGGCGGAGCATTCAAGTGGGCGTGGTTTCAGGGGCAATTCTAAGCTATTTATACACGTCAATCCGAAAAATACAATCAAAAATTACATTTTGCAACTGCCACACTTCCTTACGGATTCCAAGTGCATTTGCTGAATAAATGCCTATTCATTGTTCAAATCTTCTCATCGCAAGCTTGTCGTCGTAATGGTCATCATTTGGGTCAATTAAAGTTGAGAGTGTTGCCAAAGTTTGTCAATTAAAATGTGATTTTGCTGTATGGAAAATGAGTGAAAATCGATGCTTGAGCGCCTCGTGGAAAATGAGCTGTAATTTTCCACGAGGAGGCGAGATGGAAATTTTGATAGGGAACAAGAATTGAAAAGCTAGAGGGTGTGTTTGTATGTTGTGTGCTCTCATTAAATACTTTTAAAGATGAACACCGTGAATGCGACGGCAATAAATGTAAGAAGGTGTGAAAACTTTGCTGCGAACACTCGCCTCTGAATTTCATGAAGAGACGAAGAGAAATTGAAGGGATGGCAAGCTTGATGGGAACAAAAGACGCAATTTAATATAAATTTCATGTAAATGCAAACGACGAGAGCATTAGGGAGAGTATCAGGTGAGCCTTCTCGAAGCTGGGATTTTGTCGTTCTGCCTCGACACAATTATCCGGCGAAATCACTTGAATTGCAACTTAATGACTGTTTATGGTGAGGTGTTGCGAAAGTCACCCCCTGAAGGCGAGTCAGAAATTTATGGTGGGGTTATTAGATTTATGCGCGCGCCCAAAAATTCATCCTCCACGCGGCCTGGACGAAGAGAAGAGGGCGCAGATAAGATGATGACGATAGGCGTAAGCTGATTATTATTAAAGGCAAAAAAGAAGAGAACTTTCTTCATTCAATTCTCATTTTGG